TTAAGCACCGAGCAAAACCTAATCCCAAACACGTCTGAAACAGCAGAGGCACTGATGCCTTTTCAAATGCAGTTTTATTTTGTGATTTTAAAGAAAATAGCAAATTGCTTTTTTAATTGAACTCGAAGTAAAGGTGGTGGGAGACTGGCAAATGACGGGTGAGTGCCGTGCACACGGACTTCCAGGGATCCTCCAAGAAACCTCTGAGCTGGCCATCATCACCCACGTGTTATGGTTGAAGACCGGAGGTCAGGGAAATGGCTAAGTGGGAACGGAACCAGATTTGTCTAACTCAAAAGTTCTTTCACTCACCCATTGCGTGTTGGAGTGCTTTTCTCTCTTGTTGCAGCTTTCTTATTAGTAAAGGGATATCATGTGGGGGGGGGTGGGGGCGGGTGTGTGTGTGTGTGGGGAGTCAAAACCAATGTTACTCCACACTTCCGTATCTATTTTCACCGCAATAGAGGAGATTGGATTTTATTTTCCTATCTTTGGGGCACGCAGGCTATTGGCAGAAATAGGGCTGTTTGGTGTTAGAACAGCACAATTTGAAAGGGGAAATTGTGAGCAAAACAAACAATTTTAATCTGTTTTCCAAGCTTTAAAAATGTTTGAAATATTTAAACGATTTGCTGTGATTTTACTCTTCCTGTAAATGTTGACCCTCTGTATAGATAGCCACGGTCTTTTTTCCCAGTTTAACCTTCTCCTCCAGAAAGATGTTGTGAAGAAAGAATAGAAGGACTTCCCTAGTCCTTTCTAAGCCCGTTGGTCAAGTGGACTGCATTGGTGCCCTCTCCTGAAAGGATGCTTTGCGATGTATGAGAGCAGTTTTTGTAAATGAACATCATCCTTAAAAACCGAGCTGGGCTCCTTGTCCACCTCCTTTAGCTTCTTGTTCTGCAAGGCTGCAGCGCCGGGCTCCGCAGATGGCAGCTTTGGCATGGCCCCGGGGCCCGGGGGAATATTAACTTACAAGGCTTCCCCTATGTTGCTTTTACATGTCTGAAACTATTTCAAAACTTAGCGACTGAAATACAAGTGATTAAGGACACTTGACTAGAATGTAAGAAGTGCTTTTGTTCCTTCCTCCCTCCCCACCCCCGGTTTGGAGAGAAGGTGGTGGTTGGGAATGAATGAGTGTATTTTTAAGACATGTCCCGGCTGCTTCGGAATATCTACATGGACAAGGACGCCGGAGATTCTAAAAGGGCGGTCAAAGTAAAAATCAGGCAAGTTCTTCTAGGGGTAGATCCTCGTTGCCATTTAAATGCCACCCTGTGAGTCTTAAAGACCATTTTGTTTTATTAAGTGTCATGCTCTAGTTGAGTGGTGAGACTGGGTGTGTGCTGAAATGGGAAAGGAGGATTCTTTGGTTTCTAGTCTCCGGAGCCTCCTAATGTTGCAAAGGTGTTCTTGCTCCCTTCTTTCTGGCTCGGCCTTCCCGGAAAGCAGGTGCCAGATTGGGGGGTGGGGGGGCTCACCTCCTGAAACCTCCTGGAGGGTGTGAATTTCCATTTCCCTCTGCGCCTGCCTAAGCAGCTGGGTGCAAATGGGCCAGTCCCTCTCTGTGGGTCCCCTCCCCAGACACAGGGACAGACACTGCCCGGGTATGGTCACAGGAGGCTGGGAAGTGCCTGCGGGTCTCCAGCAGCTGGAAAGGTTTGGGTCTCTTTGGCAGATGTTTGCTGTTCCAGCCAATTCATTAATGTTGGAAACTAAACCCCTGACTCTTCCTGACCAAAGCCCCAGGTCGTGATTGACAGCTGGGGTGTGCTTCGCCCCAGCCTCCCCCCACACATACACAATCTGAAAGCAGGAGAGAGAAAGCGAAAAGAGAGAGGTGGGGGCAAAATGGGGACTTGTTGCTAGATGCTATTGCTAAACAACCAAAATATCAAGGAAGGAGAGGAGAGCCTCATTGGAGGAGAAAGAAATTCAGTGCAACTAGTTAAGATTTGAAGTCCCATCTTGTGCTTGGGTCTGTATAATTATATAATTATCACACCTGTCACGCATTCATCAATTCAGGACACCTAGTGCCAGGCACATGCTAGTATTGATATCAGATGAATAACAGAGATTGGCCCACCAGGAGTTCCTTGTCCAGTGGGTGACATGAACATGCAAAAGGCAGTCAAGAGACCACTAAGACAGGGGAATCACAGCGTTGGGGAGTGGGGAAGCGAGCAGACGTTTCACAGAGGGGGTGACATTTGAGATGGGTCTTGAGTGAGTTTTGGGGGGCGAGGAGGAGGGAGGGGCTGGGGTGCCGAGGGCATTGCCATAAAGGGGACTCCTCGCGCGTAAAGGCACGGATTATGTAGGAAAGGCCAACCTTGAGAAGTAGGTGTTATGATCACCACTTACAAATGAAAAAAAAAAACTAGGGCTCAGCTTCGATGATACAGGACGGAGCGCTGGAGGCTCCAGACTCCAAGATCTGGAATCTCTCTCCCCACTACAACCTGGGGACTTAGGTCCTCAGACCCCCCCTCTGAGATAGTTCGTCTCCGTAGCAGAAAACATAAACGATGGAAAACAAAAGGATTTGTTGAATCGAAATGTCTTACTTCTTTAGCGACTTGAAACACGGCGGATTTCAAATCAAAGGACCAGTTTGCAGGAAAATATGGGCGCAGTTTGTGCCTGGAGTCGAGTAGGAGCGGGGAGGAGGGAGATGGCCGGGGCCAGGCGGCTGGAGCCTCCGCGCGCGCTGCCCTCTCTGTGCGCTGCCCGCAGCCGTCCGCGCGCCGGGGCACGGGAGCCAGCGCAGCTCCGGATCCCGGTTTGAAGAGAGGAAAGGAGAAGATCAAGAGGAGAAAAGGAAGAGAAGGAAACAAAGGAAAAAGAGAAACGGGGATGTAAGATGGGGAGATGAAGGGAAGCAAGGGCAGAAGAGAGAAGAGACAGGGGAAGTTGGATAGAGAAGAACGAAAGTGGCGCAAACATTGGGAGGATGGGAGGGAACATTGGAAAGAAGGGAGCGGTGAAAGGAATGGGAAGAGACCTAGAGGGTAACGTAGTCAGGATGAGAAAAGAGTTAAGGAAAAGGGGGCACGAAAGGATGGAGGGCCCCCGGAGATTCATTTGGAGCGCGCGCGTTCCGTGAGCGCACGGCAGGGCCTGGGAAAAGAGTCGGAGCAAGGTGGAACGGAGAGTCTGTCGCCCAGGCGCTGGCCCGCAAGCGCCCGATCGGCCCCGCAGTCCGCGCTGCCGGTGGGGTCGCCCCCGGCACGCGGCGCTCAAATTCTGCCGAACGCTCATTTCTCGGCGGCTGCCGACATCGCCGCATTTTCCAAGGGTTAAATATAACTCCCCACCCAATTCTGTCCTCGGCCGGAACGCCGCGCCCCTGGGACCCCTCTGCTCCCTGCTCCTCCTGCGCCCAGGAGAACCCCTCGGTCTCGGCGCCAGACCGCGATGCTGGGCTGATCCAGGTGCGGCCCTCCGCCCCGCGCGGGATAGCGGATCCGCCGCGGGCGCTGCCGCCAGAGCCGGGGCGCGCACGGGCCCGAGAGCGGTGACCTTCCGCGGGACGCGCGCCACCATCCGGACACCTGGAGCCGCCTCTGCCTGGATTGGATTAGGAGAATAAAGGAAAAACGATTGTAAATAAAGAGGAGGGGGCGGAGGGGCACACAAGCACCCCGGGAAGGAAGTTTCTTAAAGGTGCCATGTCTGGCGCTCGGCTCTGATTGGGGTTATTACTACCTATTTCCTCCAAGAGTTCAGTGCTTAGTTCCCCATCTGTGTCCCCCTGAGTCGAACCGCCGGCTCGCGCGGTGGGGTCGCCTTGCTTCTGCGGCGACCCCGCTACGACTCGGGCCCCTTCCAGGTTTCGAGTGAGGAAACGTCACCAGCTCCCAAACTCGGTCTCGGAGAAGGCGATCCGCATCTTTAATTCTCGATTTCCTCTCAGCCCAGCGCACATCAATTTGGAGCCAAACCGTGGGAACGCGGCGCCCCGAGGCGGTTTCCGCGCACGGCCCGCGCGGTGGCAGGACTCGGGCAGTGGGAGCCTCCCTGGAGCGAAGGCTGGGCGGCGGGGGTGGGGGTGGGGGTTCCCCTCGCCCAACGATCACAACTGAAAACAAAAGTTCCTCCAGACGCGGTTGGGAACGCACTAGGACGGTAGGCGCCCAGGAGGAAGGCCAGCCGCTTAATGAGCGTGTGTCTCTGCGGCTCCCGGAACCCTGCGGCGTGGCGAGGGAAGGGGGACAAAAGTTGCTTTGCCGGGAGTGTCCGTCGTCCGAGATGCCGCGAACACGCTGCCTGCGAAGGGCACGCCGGCGCTGGCGACCGAAAAAGTGTATGCATAGTTTACAAATAAAAAGGAATGCACACTTTTGTTGGTTACTTTTTTATTTCTACAGTTTATTACTGGGATAGCGGACAGGGCAAGGGTCATCCATGGTTTGGGATCTCCGTGGGGACAGTCAAGTTTGCAATCGGCGCAAACGTCCGAAGCTCGGCTCGCGCGGGCAGCGAGCGCTGGGGACGGGAGGGGCGGGCCGCCAATACTCTCGACCGGGGCGGCGGGGGTCCTAGCCCGGAAGAAGGGCACATTGGGTTTCTGGGGTCGCCGAGGACTCGGCTTCTTCCTAGTAAGAGACCTATACCCGCCCGACCCTGGTTTGAAGGCGGGGGGAGCGGGGCCAGGTGGGTAGTGAGATGCGCGCGAAGGAGACG